TTTCCCCCAACCACGGCTGCTCTGTGGCTACTTTTGGTGAACTGAAATCCATTCAACAAGTCCATATGCGGGACATCAGAACCTCCTGTTTGCTGCCACCAGCAGTTTACAAATGTCTGGCAGTCTGGCCTCATCTCATCCTTTCTGCACTACAACTTATTTGCAGTGGCACTATGTGGCGTGGGTTACCATACATGAAGGAATTTCAGATCGTTTTTTTCTTGGGATTCGGTTGTTTGCTGTGTCAAGCAGAACTGTGTGTAGTTTGTTTTTATGTTTTCTTTTTCTTTAAAAAACGTTTACGGTACAACACCATAGTCTGTGCCTATCCGGGTTTTAAATCAAATTAAAAAGTTATGTAAATGTTTTATCCATGTTTCTTCGTGTTGGGCCTTCACATGATGATGTTTCCACCCCACCCCCCCCACCCCCCCTCCTGAATTCCTCAACACCCCTGCCCCCAGGATGTAAAAAATGTTCACTCTCAAGCAAAGCAATAACAGCTCGTAAGCACAAACATTTTTCACAATCTTGCCAACATCTATTTCTGTCATATCCTGAATAAATTAATCCAAATACATGACTTGTGTTTGCAGCATTTACATGTGTTTCACATTAAAGATGACAAACCAACAAGGATCGGTGCCTGTGTGTCAGCCATGCAGGCAGTTTCTCTAAAAATAGTAGCAGATGGTCCTGTTTTACCTCCTTTCCTGCTGAGCGCTGTGGCCACTTGAATAACATCAGTGAAGTTATGCAACAAACTGAATTCTTGGGCTGCTTCTCCACCAACTGTCACTGATCCACTGATTCTCTACATGCACACTACAGTGTGCTGAGCTCAGGAAAAGAGGCAACTTTTCTTACTTTGTTTATTTGAATGAGAAATTTGAGTAATTCTGTTATATCATTTGCAAAGTGCATTCGGTGTTGCACATCTGTTAAAACTGCACTGATCGCTCACATCACTCCAAATGAACGCATGGCTCTCCAGACCAATCAATCTGAGAATCTATAAGATGTTGGACAACAGTTCCAGAGAGCAAGAAAATACGAGATGAGACTCATTTAAACAACTGCGAGAGGTCAAGTGCGCCATGGTGGACAGGGTCAAGCAGACCCCAGGGTGTACATCCTGCAAAGACAAGAGAACCAGAATAATAATTTATGATTTCTGTCTGATGTAGCTCTAGGATTGTGCTTTTTCAAGGCTTGTACAATTTGTGTACGTTTTTCTGTCGGATTAGTGTTACAGAGCAGTTGGATCGGAGCCAGAAAACCCAGCATGAACCTCTAAAACATCCTGGAAAGTATCAACGTCAGCTTGTCAGTCTTCAGCTGTACATCTGTGCAACATCATAGATACTGAGGAAGAAAAAACTCTGCTGATTTCCCACATTCACACATCCATCCATCTATCTATCTATCTATCTATGACAGCTCAATTGCGCCATCTAGTGACCAAACATGCAGCTTGTACATGGACTATACAGTGCTTCAAACCAAAAGCACAATACACTAGGAATTTGATATACAGGACACATTTTAGACTTTTACAGTGAAAGGGTAAGATAGTAGAATATATATAAATTGAACCAAACACTAGAGACCTTAACAGACAATCAAAAAACAAAATGTGACAAAGCTGCTAAGACCTCACTATCAGGGTTACTGTTAAACCTCATCTATGATTTAAAAGGCAAGATCCAACTTGAAATACACTTCACATTTTATTCTTCTGACACTGAGCTTGATTGCATCTATAACCGTGAACAAGTCTGTTCTTGTTGAATATCCGGCTGTGGCGATTATGTCATAGACTGCGGCTTCCCTGGAAACTGAAAACCAAAAACCAGAAGAATTAAGACACTGTGTGACAGAAGTCCCGATGACACACTACCACATTTACTATATATACCCTGCACTCAACTCCAACTCATCTGCATGTGACATGTGAGAAAAACAACTGTGGTACAGTCAGTCAGCAACTAAATGTCAGGACTCAATTCTTCAAAAGTCACATAAAACATTTTCTCTTCCTCTTACTGTAAGATTACTCATTATTCATGAGGATGTTGCAAGAATCATCTGAAACAGAAACTTCAAAACCTGAGAAAGGGGAGAGCAACATGAGGAGTTGAGCCTTGTGAGGTGAATGTACCAAAAGAAAACATACAAACACACAAACTACTGGTCGGCCTGTATCACAAAGTAAGTATGAGCAGAATCATCCAGTTTGAAACAACAAATGTGGCAAGAAAAGATGAGAAGATTTTTCTGTTTAAATGACTCTTCCTCACACATCATCATTGTTGGTAACACTACTTTAAATTATCAGCAGAATAAACACATTTAATAAATAGTTTATGACAGTGTAATGTAGCTGTGAGCAGATGTAATTGGACAATGTCTCCTATAAGTGGAGACTGATGTGTAGATACATAATAAACGACAATATACTAAAATACACACTTCATGGGAACTGTTATGACTGTTGACAAATACAGCAAATTACGGTAATAAACACTTAAAATGTCCTTACATCTGCTTACAATGACGATATAATGAGTTATAATCCCTTTGTGAATAAAGCAGAAGTTAAAGTGAAGTGTTACCAGGCCATCATTCATGATAACTTATTTGGTTTCACTTTCATTTGTATGTTCTGTGTATTCCTAAGTTCAACAAGAGGTGCCTCGAAATGCATTTGAGGATAAAACATAATGTATATTAGGATGTTTCCTGAAGACAGAACTACTTATTGTCTAATTAAATTTTTACTAAAGAAAATATTACAGTCCTTGTAGTTTGTAGATTATTACAGTAACTCCTTGTCATGTGTCACATGTTATTCTGTATAATGAAATACTCTGACTTACTTAATACTACTGTCATTTACAGTAATGTTAGTGGGTAGAGGCTGCCCTCTTGAGGTAAATAATCCGGTGTGTGGTCGTACAGATTTCATTAGTCACCAGTTTGCAGCAGTCCACAGGAGGGCAGCAGCGAGTCTGACTCAACAGTTTTCAGGCTGTGGAGCTCACAGGACAAAACAAAGCAACCTCAGTGCAAAGACAGTGTAGAGATGCAACCAAGTCTGAAGATGGATGGCAAAGGCCTGGGAACCGTCATAAAAGAAAACTTCTTAAGCCACCGAATGTAGTAATAAAAGACATGAGAAAACCTTGTAATTCCTACAGAGGTGATTCAATGAGTCCGCTCCTCTCAAAAGGCCTGACCTGTTTCCTTACCAACTTTTCCATGAAGTCTTTATGAACAGAATTCCTGGACTCCACCACCCTGAGAATAAACTGCTTTATACTGCAAATATGAAAATTCCTGTGAGAGGAAACTGTTTAAATTCCCTGAGAAATGTGTTTTTTATTTATTTAAACTGGTGATTGTGACTGTTCCACACCACAGAGTAAAGTCTCTGCTGAAGTTCCCCCAAAAAAGCAAAAGAAAACGTGTCATACTTGATACTTAACAGGATCCTCTATAAACAGACAGCTGAGTGACAGCCAGGAGAGCCTATTAAACTGTGTATAAATCACATAAGTGGCTGGCCGTGGACTGTCAAAGGTCACCTCCATCATTACATTGTCTCATAAATATTTTCTGGTCGATAAACAGACGCCTCAGTGAAACCCATCAGCGTTTATGACTTTGCATCGTACTTTCAGACAAGCCAATTAGACAACTCTGCTAAATTAGTCCTCGGACACCTGCAGGAGAATAATAAGAAATTAAAAGAAGTGTGCTCCTCTGAAGTGCGTATATTGTTATCCAAATGTAATGATACACACAAGATTGCAGCTCAGATTTATATTTAAAAGTGAATTCTTGATTTTTCTTTTTAAGAAAAGTGCATTGAAAAAATAATCCTAAACACGTCTGACATTTTCAAATTTATGCTCAGTGAGTTTGTTGTCTCTGAAGCTGAATGAGCCTGTTTGGCCTAAATGTGGCAGTAGCCTATATTAACTGAAGGATCTGGCTGACTGTGTCCAAATGTGTTTTTAAAACTCAGATCTTGAATCGTGCCGTTATTTCCCCGAGAGCCGTGACACACATTTGACATTAAAAACTAAGCAGGAAAGAAAAAGAAAACTAAGTTGAGTGTAAATTGCAGGAGACAGCGGTGACTGATGTGTGGCAGGCCGCTGTTTGTCACAGGGGGGGTTGTTGGAGTTTCCTTGTAACCGGAATTAGCTGTGAAGTGCGACCTTTAGGTGTGAACACGGAATACTAAAGGTCCGGCTTGCTTCTGGAGAAAAAAAGTCTCTCGTACTTTGCACCTCGTTTGCAAGTGAATATCTGAAATAAAACGGGATTCAGCGTGAAGCGTGGTCGGAAACAGCTGAATCCTATGACAGGTTTTTAAACATGATGGATCGTCTGTTGGGAAAGTTAAACTTCTACAACTATACTCCACTATTATAGGCTCAAGCGAAATGAATTGTCACGAGAAATTGAATAAAGTCCTGTATAACAAAACGTATCTATGCGCAATTACGCACAGATCTTTTTTTTTTTTTGCTTGCTTAATGCATTTGTGCACGTGTTAGCTGGGCTTTTTGCCGGTTCGTGCAGCGTGTGCAGCTGATAGGCCGCGGCGTTAATGTATTCACGGAGGGGAGAACTCATGTTCAGGATAGGCCGACTGTCAGGTGATGACGCGCTATACAGGACAGGCGCGAGGGGACAGCTGGGCCGGCAGCACCGGTCACTCTCATTTGGATGCAAATATCCAAGAGTTGAGGAGTTGGCTGACGTCAGACAGGCCTTAGTATACCTTTACCATCTTGTCAACAGAGCCACATCATGTGAGACTGGAGACAGACTGGAACTACGTCGCATTTCAAACTTGGGGAACCTCTCTGGACTATAAAAAGCAGGATTGTTTTTTTTAACAGTTACAGGGCAGCAATGTCGCCTTAAAACAGGCCACATCATCCCCTCTGCTGTTTTTGCTGTTTTTAATTGTTTTTGTACAAATCATGTATGTGGGATACCTACTGGATAAAGAAAGCGGCATGTATCACCAAGGGCCAGTGAGAAGATCGAGCATCAATCTGCCTCCACAGAATTTTGTTTCTACACCACAGTACCCCGACTTTACTGGATACCATCATGTGCCAAACATGGATACGCACGCACAGTCTGCAGGGAGTTGGGGACCTACATATGGCGCCCCACGAGAGGACTGGGGCGCATATAGTCTGGGACCACCTAATACTATTCCTACACCCATGAACAACTCCTCTCCTGGACAGGTTCCTTACTGCTCCTCTGAGTACACTCACATGCATCCTCCAGGATCTGCGGTGTTACAGCCGCCGCCGGACAACGTTACCGTTGCACAACTATCTCCAGATAGAGAAAGACGCAATTCATACCAGTGGATGAGTAAAACTGCGCAATCATCTTCTACAGGTGAGTCCATCATCCCAAACATTGGGTCAAAATTATGTTATTCGATACGCTGAAGCGCTTCCCTCGGTGTTGCATGAAAAACAGTTTTTGCGCGTGTAAGAGTTTTTGCTTTTCTTTGAGTCTCACCTAATTTTACGCGTTTTAATTATTTTTCTGGCAGTTCCATGTCACTAAAAATTAAATTAATTATCGAACATGTTTAATTGAAAACAAGAGCGGAGGGTCAATGGGTCAAACTTAATATTGGGGAAATGTAATTAAAAAAAAAATTTAAAAAAAGGAAAGTGCTTAAGAATGCATAAGAAGGAAACTGGTTCTGTGACACTTGCCTTATGCGGGCTCTCTCCATTTAAGATAACACAAGGGTAAAATGAGAATGAGAGTATTACTAGTCTATAATTGATAAAAGCCTATTTAACGTAATACATTTAGATCAGACTAGCAGCAGAAAGAAGTTAAATATATCCATTAATAATTTCCACATCTCATAATTGTGATGGTTAAGATGGTCTGAAGGCCAGCAGCCCAGTCTACTGTATTCTCTTCTGTGGTGGAAATAAAAAAATAAAAAAAGGTGTGAGCAATCGGCGCCAGGCCCAGTTGTGATGTTAATGTCATTATTCCTGGAGATGTGAGGTCGACTTTCCTGTCACATTGTTTGGTGTTTTGAGTGTTATCCGTCATATCCAGGCAGTGGCCTTTGCTTTCAACACCTCTTCACTTTGATATGCACCAACCTCTCTTCCTCTCCAAGAGTTATATTGCCGGAAAGAGTGGGGTTTTTCACAGCTAATGTCTCAAACGTGGAGCTATACCTACTGTATGTCTTAACAGTGGCGTAAATTACAGTTTCAAATCGAATACTATGAAATTATGTGCCCTAAAATAAAACAGCGCAACTATTTTACACTAACATAGATTCATTAAAATTAATTCAGGCTGTATTTATGTTAGGAATATGAGTGTCCATCACTATTTCTTTTTATTTGGAAATGATTTGTCACTGTCAAACATTTGTTTTCTAACAGTAACACTAGACACGCACTCACACAGGCCTATAAAATTGTAAAACTGGTCTAACAAATGTAATGTAAACTACATGCTGTCGGGAGGTGTTTAACGTAAAGTGCAGATACTTCTATTATCTCCTGTGTCGAGTGTTTCTTTTTAACTTGTCAGTGCAGGATCTGAATCGTGGCTGTTTGAAATTCACTGTTCTACAGTTGTCATCAAAGCAAGATCAAAAAGCTCAATTTGCGTATGTGTAGATAAAGCAAAGAGATGTGGATTTAAGACACAGCTAAAAAAGATGCTGTGTGCAGATAGGCCGGTCCTGGCATGCAGCCCGCTCTGTGTAAATCTTCCAGTTCAGCCACTTGGCTGCTGGCAGATGATCCTAGAAACGGACAAGCAAAATATTCACGCTGTGTTTTGGGTTTTCTTTTGTCACCTTCACAGGTAAAACGAGAACGAAGGAGAAATACAGGGTAGTATACACAGACCATCAGAGACTGGAGCTGGAGAAGGAGTTTCATTTCAACAGATACATCACCATCAGGAGGAAATCTGAACTGGCTGTCAACCTCGGTCTGTCGGAAAGACAGGTATGTCGAATGAAATACTTGTGCCTGGTTTGTTTTCATCGCAGATGGATGCAATAAATCATTTTTACATATGTCATACATAGAGCCTGCTATGTATGAGCATGAGAGCACACCACATAGGCTTGTTTTCACATGTGTAACTTACAAAATGAAGCCTATAGAAAACGTCATTATTTCATTTTTTTTTCATTAGTGATAACTGCCTTGGATATATTTATAGTCCTATCTAAACCCCTGATATAGCCAATTGTCTTTTGTTTGTTTTTGTTTTGTTTTTTTGTTTTTTTTTAAATCAACGAATTATTCTTCGATCATTAAAGCCCCATAAAGAAAATATTATATTGGTTATAATTTTCCTGATCTTTCTAATTATATTTGCCCATGGTGTATACACATTTATTTTCTATTATTTTGAAATCACACCAAGAAACAAGAAATTGTGGAAATGTATTCATTATGCTACACCTAGCCTATATTTATTATTGTATTTATCATTCATGAGCTACTACTACTTGTCCTATGTATCTGTTAATAGGCATTTTATTTTATTTGAATTACTTATTTTCTATTTTATTTTATTTATAAAAGACTAGCTTAGACCTAAAAAATATCCCATTTAATCATTATTGTTGTTATCAGTTACTGTTTAATGAAGTTAAGTTCTATCTAGGCTTACTAATTTATAAGGGTTTTATTTTACTTTAGTAAGGAATATCAGATTAAACTGGGTAGTACACGCCAAAAATATATTTAATATTGTTATTCATTAATAATTTCCTATTTAAGCCTATCTATTTTTATGTATCCTATTATATGCATTTTATTTTATTTATAATGAGAGATTATACAAGCTTAATTTTTGTCATTAATTATTTTCTATTTCCAATCTAGACTTATCTATTTATAATGATTTGTTTTGTTTCACTTTAAAGGAGGTGGCACATACCCGGAAACATTTATTTAATTGAACTTTCTTTGTGCCTTTTCAGGTGAAAATCTGGTTTCAGAACCGCAGAGCCAAGGAGAGGAAACTGATAAAGAAGAAGATGGGTCAGTCTGACGGCAGCGGGGGGTCTGTGCATAGTGACCCGGGTTCAGTAAGCCCTCTGCCGGTGCCCGGGTCCCTCAGTCCCACAGACATCCACGGCTCTCTGTACCCCCCTCAGGGAATGAACACCTTGCCATCTATCAGGAATATACAGCAAGTGACTGTGACTCAGTAAAACAGTTCACCCTCTGGACCATGTAACATAACTGAGCACTCCTACACGCTGACAGGACACTTGATAGGCAGCCAGAGGATCTGAACTCACGTCCTGAAGCACAAAGCTGTGGATAAACGTTTAATTCATAGCAACAAAATGCTGGAGGCTCTTGAAATATTGCTTTTTATAGAATAGTTCTAATAACGTGGGGATGAAAAAAACGAAAAAATCGACGTGTTTCAAACTTAAAAGCTTTAAATTGTTTGTGAGTTAATAAGATATAAATATCCTTTTTTTGTATGCAATGAAGTGTATGTGTTTGTGAATAAAATGAAAATTCAGGGACCTTTCAAAGGAAGTTTTATACTGGATTGTATGTAGCTCACGTCACACTGGACAAAGTGCTTTGACTTGACAAATCATTTTCACACGTTTTTCAGCACAATTGTAACAGCACAATTGAGCAGCTGGTAATGATACGGGTAGAGCGGTCGTTTGATGGCAACTTTCATAATGTAAATAAAATGTTTTTTTTGCAGTACACCTGTCGTTTTCCTCATTTCCGATTTTTGGTTTTGCAAAGTTTGGGTTACATTTGCATGCAATAACGAAGCAATGTAGGTGCAAAACAAGTAAAGCACCTCAAGATGTCCATTTCAGGGGAATTAGTTTAAACACCATAACACATTTTATACAGTTGGCAATTAGTCAATTGCATTTTCCTGATAATACTGCTGAAAAATCAAAAAAAATCCAAGCACACAGGTCTATCAAACCAGTGAGAATAAATATGGCCTAGATTTGCAGCTACACATCGTTTTCCAGAGATGATATTACAGGCCTACTGATCAACTCAATGCATCTGCTTTTTGACTGGAATAATCCAAAGGGAACTCTATTTCCAGGCATCTTTCCCAAAGCTCAAACAGGAATCACATAAACCCCTCACATTGTGCTGTCTATGCTGGTTTGTTGTCAGTTCTCTCCGAAGTCGCCATGCTTTGCACACTTTAAAAACCAACCAGCTGTATAGGAGTCCACGAATAAACAGCCATGATATTCAGAGCATAATAGCCTGTTTTTGCTATTCCATTCAACACATTATACACAACACTCAGGTGCACAGTAGCTAGCTAGGCCTATTTTTTTTTTTAGGAATGTCGTGAATTCATCCTACATTTTGTACATCAAAATGTTTCATGGAAGCTGTCTGTAGACTTCAATAGTACAAGTAGTAATCTTGGTTGGTTTTAGGCCCGTCCTAACCAAAAAAAGCAGATTAAAGCATGTTTTTAGCTCAATGTAGTCTAATTAGTTTAGGTGACATGTTAGCTTAATTATCGGGTGGCAAGACTGGCTTCTTGACTTCTCTTGCCTTTCAGCTGGTTTGTGTTTTATAAGTTACCTGAATATCCCAAATTCTGAGTGCAGAATTTATCATTTTAAATATTCTGAAAAAAAGTTAATCTGACATTTTTCTACTTGATTCTACAAAGTGAGTGAGACTTGACTGCTAGGGTTTGAACCAGGTTTGAACACATAGGGGCGATGGTCGCTCTTTAACAACTCGTGCTCCGCGCTCCCGCTCGAGCGTCCGTGCGCGGCACCGTGGGAAACGTCATGAGCGTCTTACTACCCAACATGGCGGACTTTGATACCATTTATGAGTTAGAAGACGAAGAGGATGAGCACGTAGTGAGCGAGGAACACTTGCCCAGATACTGTCCGGAGCCCGTGGTTATGCGAGGGGCTGGGCACATTACAGTGTAAGCAGAGCCGTGTTTGTCGCTCCTGTCTGTCCGAGTGTCGCTTTGTTATCCTTAGCCTGTTTAGCTGATGCTAGCCTGTGAGCTAACGCAAATCACAACAACTGACGGTTAGCCATATGTTGTGACATGGGGATAAACGGTTTGCCCCCGAACGGAGCATTATTACGATAGAAACTAACAGTTCTATGTCCCCATGACAACCATAAACGTGGTAGTCCAGCAACTGATAGGCATTGGAAGGCAAGTTTACATGTGATGTACCTTAAGCTACAAGTCTGTGACTAACGTTATCACCGAACAGACAAGTGTTGCAATGTCTCTGACAGATACTATTAAACAGTGGTGAACAGTAACCAAGTGCATTTACTCATGTGCTGTACTTAAGTAAACTTTTAAGGTACTTGTACTTTCATTTTATGCTAATCTATACTTCTATTCCTAATTTTTAATAGGGAAACATTCTACTTTGTACTCCACTTCTTACATTTGTTTGACAGCTGTCGTTACTGGTTACTTGTAGAGCTGAAACCATTAGTCTATAAGTCAATTGGCAGAAAAATAATCAGCAGCTTTTTTGATAATTGATTAATTGTTTCAGTCAATTTTCAAGCAAAAATTGTGAAACCATGCTAAATTTTCTCTGATTCGAGCCTCTCTAATGGGAGGATTCTATTCTTTTCTTTTTCATGTGTGTTTGTAAACTAAATATTTTGGGGTATTTGGACTTTCCTTTGGCATATATTGTTGTAAACAAAATATTTTGGGTATTTGAACTTTTGGTTGAGTAAAGCAAGAGATTTTAACCTATATTTTTTGGCTCTGTGAAGATGTGATGGACATTTTTTAACATATTTCATTGACTGAACAACAGCAACAAATCGAAAAAATAATCATCTGATTAATCAATAATGAAAATACTTGCAGCTAGATAAGATTTTCTAGTTAAGTGTCCTAACTCTTGGAGCCCTGTGTTACAGATGTCAGATGTTGCAGGTTTGAGATACGAGTTGTCAGGAGTCCCACCAAAGGGTAATTTCCACTTTAAACCCCTCAGATGAGTTTATTGAGATAACAGTTTGAAGCCCAAAGAGGTAAGATTATCCAGTATTCACAAAAAGTAAATCTTTGAGGAAAAAAAATGAAAATAGTTTTGTTAAACAGAGCTTTGATTTTTCTTTTTTCCTCTCCTACTTCTCTCCCCACAACCCCTCAGATTTATCTGGTGACATTTTGGAGGGGCTATGATAATATATCAGTTACTTTTGCTCTTAATTTTGATACTTTCATTACATTTTGCTGATGGTACTTATGTACCTTTACTTAAGTACATTAGTAAATGCAGGGCTTTTGCTTGTAATGGAGTATTTTCACATTGCTGTACTAATACTTTTACTTAAGTAAAGGTTTTTAATACTTCCTCCACCACAGTTAAGGTATCTGCCAAGTCAGCACAACTTCACCAATGAAGACTAAGACATTTTTCACCATTGTTTACATGAGGTTGCCAGTGACTAGCTAGGTACATTTCGGCCGATATAATTTCCCACAGCCCAAAGAGGTGTATTCAGATTTCTTGTATTATTCGACCAACAGTCCAAAAAAGATATTGAGTTTATGATCACATATGACAAACCAAGGCATCAAGCCTTCACATTTGAGGAAAGTTACTTAAACATTTAATCAAATATCAAACTAGTTGCAGATTTTTTTGTCTTTGGACTAATCGATTAAAGGACTTATTGTTGCAGTCCTAGAGTGGAGCATAAACCTTAACGCATGTTAGCTCTCCAGTTTGATGAAATATGTTAGTCTTGTCATAACAAATTGGAAAACCTGAAATTTTCAGCACTGTCATCATTGTCAGATATCTCCTCACTTTCACCATAACATTAACTTGACTAGATTCTGAATCAGCTTTCTTTGCCTCCTTTACCATCCCTGCACGTGGATGCTAATAAGAAAAGGGTATCAATTTTAAAACATAATCCCATTTCTTACTGTTCTCATGGGTATTATTATTATTGAACTTTGTCAAGTCATATGAACATGAACAACCTCCTAGGAAAGATAAATACATGAAAAAATATTATCAGGGGACATGTTGTCAAGCTGCTTTGTAAGCAACTAATGGCAAATTCAGCATTGCTAATGTGCCCACTGAGAACTGCAGAAAAAGATGAAACTGTATCCCTGCCCACTTGTATCAGGTTACACTCCTGTATATATACAGTACTGTGCAAAACTTCTAGGGCCTATAAGTAAAGTGAGGATGCTTTCAGAAATAATACCATGAATAGTATTTTGTGATGGATGACAATCTAAACATCTGAAGTGCCTAAAACATTTGCACAGTACTGCAGATAAACTGTGACGATATGGCACATATAAACTGTGTTTCTGTAATTGGATAGTTAATAATATGAATGCAAGGATAATATGCCCATTGATTTAATTTCCAGGGAGTGATCACACAATATGCATATGAATGTCAAGTACCAATGGCTTATTGGAAGCTTGGGAGTGTAAGCTTATCATCCTAGTTATAATTTGTTTGTAATTATTTTTGGCATGTTTGACTTGAAGTGATTTTTATTGATGATAATGGTATAAAAATGGTATAAAATGATATAATGGTATAAAATAATTAATTATTAAATAATTATTAATTATTGTACTGCTTTGGTTGGTTTTGTGATGCAACTTCGTCACTTGGACTCCTGCATCTTTACTCTCATTACATGAAGGTCTGCAGTAGAAATAAGTGTTTACTGTGTCATTGTTTTGTAGTTGAGTGTGATTTAATGCCCCCCTTCTCATAAAGTTAACTTATATTAAAAAGAATTGTGCTGAATGAATAATTTTTGAATAAACATGTTATGTCTCATCATGTAATCTAACAATATATTTCTGCTCTTGCTGTAGATTGCTTTTGTTCTCATTACATTTATAATAATGACAGATTTTGTACTTATATATTTTTAATAGTATATCAGTGATCACATTTGATTTTTTTTTCCTTTTCTCAGGTTTGGACTGAGCAACAGATTTGACACAGAATTTCCCTCTGTTCTCACGGGAAAGGTACAGTTGCTTTTTAGTTTTCTTGTATTTTAGTCTTGCAGGCTGCTTTCTGTTCAGTTCCAAGTGGGAAGAATTAAGCAATTAAAACCACAGTGATTCTATTGTTCTTTTGGGTCTTTAACAGCTCCAACTTCCCCAAACCAGCCTATTCAAACCTCTCCAAGTTGT